CCTAGCCTCAGATACACCCAAGAGCATGAGCTGCAAAGCAATTAGAAATTCAAAAAGCCATTCCAAAGAACTGTCTAAAATAAAACTCATCTCATAACCACAAAACAAGTCAACAGAGGAATACAAGTAAATTCAGCAACCAGTATAGAAGTAAGTCTAAATGCAGCATATGCAAAACAAAAATACAAGACCCTGCCTGCAAAAATAAAAATGTCCCATCAAAGAAGCCCAAACATGGAGACCTCACCATCTTCCCTCCTCTCGACTTTTAACATCGCTTAAGCAACCAACCAAAGGCATAAGCAATGAGCAAACAATGGATAACAATTTTGATTACCTAAATCAGTCTCAATCATTTGTCCATCAATAAATGTAAGTAAGGCTGCTGCAAAACAAAGGCAAACTCTTACCTTCTTCTGTTTCCTCAGTGGGACCTCCAAAATGATATGCAGGACTATGACTCCCAACCTATTCTTGTCAGATGTGCTGAGTCCTCTGAAATTAAAGAATGAATTCCAAGGAACAAAGGATAAGAGTAGGAAAGGGTTATTGAGAGACAGCTCCAGAGACACGGAGGGCCTACCTAAAGTAGGTTGCCTGCAAGGCTGTCAGGGGTAATTTGTTCAGCAAATATGGGTGAAATGTGTTTCAAACTATAACCAATAAGATTACAAGTATAGCTACTTAGCTAGTATTGAACCAATAGGGAAGCAGGGCATGTAGCAAAGGTATATGGCAGACATCATTAACCTTGAGTTCTCTGTGACTTCCGAAACAGGAACATTTGGGGAAGGGATGGTCCAGGTATTCTGGTCACCCACCTGGGTGTCTGATGCACATCTGGACTTAATGGACTAGGTGGTACTCATTACAGTACAGTCTCAAGTGCTGTTTACCCCTTAGGGAAGTAAGCAAGTTGGGCCATTGAGACTTTGTCTTGGGGCCTTGCCTTCTTCAGATGCACCTCCAGCCACAATTTTGATGTCTTTTATTTTTACTGACTTCCTTGAGAGTCCAGTTCCTCTCTGGCTGTATATTAATTTCTATCTAACTTAGCTGCCTTTAACAGTATCTTTGCCAGATACACTACTCATCTGCTAGTTGCCATCTGGGTTATCAGATTGGGCATCAGGATGTCACAGTACTATGTTCAAGTAACTTTTATTTTAATTGGTAATGCCCTAAATGTGCAAGAATGGTGATGTTGGGAATTCAATATGCCAAAGAGAAACCATGAAGTGCTTCCTTTAAGTGTAAAGGTGAAAGTTTACCATAGATGAGTCTGTACAGGGAAAACACAGCATACATAGGGCTTGGTACCAGCCAGTTTTCAGGCACCCACTCGGGGTTTACTATGAAGTCCCTCTGGTAGGGAGGACTATGTATTGGTCCAGAGAGCCCACCCAGTGGGTTTCCAATTCCCTGAGGTGGCAAGGCTGCAAGAATCCATGGCTCAGAACAAAGTTCAGGACTCCAACTTCAAGCACCATCAATTTGAAATCTCCATAAGACCACAAAGTGTCTGTGCCATTGTGTCACATAGGCAGCTTAACCTTTGATTGTTGGGAGAGGCAACAGGCCTGTACATGTGAATTTGGAAGTTATTAGCATACACTGCTATTTTAAGTCATGATTCCAAGCAAGACCATGGAAAAAAATTAACATACATGAAGAAAATAGTGGAAATAGGTGAACCATGAACCAAACTAGCATTATATAATTGAAGATAAGAAAGCAGCAAGCCAGGCTTGGTCGTGCACACTTGTAATCTCAGCACTCAGGAGGCTGAAGCAGGAGGCTAGTTGCAAGTTCAAGGGTAGATTGTGGTACATATTGAGTTCAAGAATAACCTAGACTACTTAACAAGACCTTGTCTCAAAAAATCAAAGCAAACACAAAAACTCAGCAACATCTCAAAGGAATTTTAACAATCCTTTGAGAGCTGCATTATTAAGGCAGAGTCGTCTCAAACAGTGACTTTAATTCATTAATTTTATTGGTACGTTTTGGTATACAATATGCTGACATTCATTACTGGGAATCTGTACCTTTATATAACATATCTTGGTTCTTATCTTTTCCCCATTATCAGTGACTTTATTTTTCTTCTTGTAACTGTGAAGGTGAGGGAAAAAAGCCCAACTATATTTTTCCTTTGCGGTGCTTGGACTTGAACCCAGGGCCTTGTGTGTGCCAGGAACAAACACAGCTTTTAATGAGTTGAAGATACATATATTTATGAAAATGGAAGTAGGAAATATACTAAAAAAGGTCTGAAAAATATTTTTTCCTATTTTTTTCTTTTTGTGTTTCTAGCTTTTTAGTGGTTTGTGCGATTTAATTTTAAAAGCAGAGAATAATAGAATGGCAGAATGTTAACTGAGTGAAGGAATGGAGCTGGAGTTAATTTTCCAGATGTTGTGTACAAAAGCAGATTATGGCCAGGGATTTAGCTCAGTGGTTCCACTGCCTGTCCCGCAGGCGCAAGGACCAGAGTTCAATCCCTGGTATCAAAAAAAGAAATAAAACACACAAAAGCAGATTATGGACAAATGGAGCTAAATCATCATGTAAGATGCCTCTTGGAATTCAGTTAAATGGTTTGGGGTTGGGATGTAAAACAGTTATTAAAGTTCTCTATTCGCTGTGTCTTGGGAGGGCAGAGTATCTGGAAGCAGTGCATGTTCGGAAAGCTGTCTAGGCACTGGACATGCTTTGAGATCCCGCATTAAACATGTCTGAGGGTTTCCGTTACTTAAACCTATGTCTTCTATCGATAGCTTAGCTCTGGAATGTCCCCCACATTACAGACTTAATTCCCAGCTTGGTGATGTTGGGAGGTGGTGGATGCCTGAAGAGTTGGTCAATTACCCAAAAAGAAAGAAAGAAAGAAAAAAAAGCTGAGGATGATGGTGCATGCCTGTAATCCAAGCACTCAGGAGGCTGAGGCAGGAGGATCGAGGATCACTGTGAGTTTGAGGCCAGCCTGGGCTACAAAGAGACCGTGTCTCAAAAGAAGAAAAAGAAAACGAGTTGGTAAGTTAGCTGGTATGGAGACGCACATCTGTAATACCAGCACTGAGGATGGGACAGCCATGAGCCGGAGGCCAGCCCAAGCTAGACAGCAGGACCCTGGACCTAAATGAATGAAAGGATGAGAGATTTCTGGCCATTGGTGGCCTGTACTTGAAAGGGACCATGAGGCTCCACACCTTCCTGTCAGTTCGTGGCCCTGATGCGCTGCCTCAGCACACAGGGCCGAACAAGCATGGACTGAAACCCCCAAAACCGTGAGGCAAAGTAGACTTCCCCTGGAACTGAACCCATGCTAGGCAAGTACTCTACCACAGAGCTGTATTCCAAGCCTTTTTCAAAAATTTTGAGACATGGTGTCACTAAATTTGTCAGGCTGGGCTCCAACTTCTGATCTCCTGGGCTCTGCCTCCCTAGTTGCTGAGTTCACAGTTATGCACCACTGTGCCCAGCAAAGCCTTTCCCCTTTCTAAGGTGATGACTTCAGGTATTTGTTACAGTAATGGAAAGCTAATGCAATCTGGTAGACACTGTTGAGGCCTAAGTGATTTTTCTGTCCTTATCAACCTGCCCCAAATTTCCCCAATAACGTGAGTTTATCTTCCACTTCAAATGTGTAAATTGCACGGCTTGTATGAATCCCATAATGTGTTAGGAACCATCAAGTGTTTAATTAAAACAAATTCAAGAAAATGGATAGGATGAAGCTACAAGAGAGGTAAGCACTGAAGGTAGAGGTATTAAAAACTACGAACCAGCATCCTGGAGCATTCAACCTAGATCTGCTGGGCGTGCTGCTGAGACTACAGCCAGACATTATAGGCCCACGATCCCAGCACTCCTGAGGCTGAGGGAGAAGGATGGCAACCTTGAGCTCAGCCTGAGCAAAGCATGGCCTTGGCTCAAAGAAAAAGGGGGCTGAGGATGTGGCTCAGTGCCTGGGTTCAATTTGTAGTATTGAAAAAAAAAAACTTGCTGAAGGAAAGCACCATGGGCAGGGTTTTGGTTGAGAGCAACACTGGTAAAAATGAGGGCTTACAGAGAAGAAACAGTTCCAGCTGGAGTCTGGCTGTACACGCGGGTGCAGGGAGCGTGGCGTGCCTTGGAGGGCAGCACCTCCCGGAACTCCTGGATGTCTGGAAGGGCAGCTCCAAGTGGCTACGGGCAGACGGTGACACTACACAGGAGGCAATGTTGCCTTTGCTATGAGATGACACAAACAGGTGCTGTGAGAGCCAGAGTCCACTTCAGAACCAGGCGGCACTGCCAGGCATGAAATGTTTTATTCAAAGAAAGACAACAGCGTTTTGGGTTGGTGATGGTGCTGATGTACAAAAGGCACACTCCTGAACACACGCGGAACGGGGAGTGGAGGAGCCGTTGTTGTGAGGCCAAAGTGAACCTAAGAAACGCCATCTTGGCCTGTGAGTGAACTCCCCTCGTGCCCCTCCTCTTACAGCATGCTGAAATCCCCCTCATTTTTGTAACTGCTCACTCTGCTTCTGCAAACTTGCTTCATCACTTCTCAGAAAAGGTTGGTGCCTGGTGCCTCCCTCTAACCACAAAATGTCCTAAACTGACAAGATAGCAAGATAGCTTACAACTGGATGAGAAAACATGTTGACCCCCACTTGAACTTCTTTAAATAACAACCTATAAAAGCTGTGCTGTTCCCTGACTCTTTGCTTCACTCTACTAGAGGGTGGAGTCCACGCCGGTGAATAAACTCCTTTCACTTTTAACTTTGTCCTTTGTCCCAGTGTTTGGTGATCTACCAGCTCAGCTCTTGGCACAACAGTTATGATGGCAGCAACTGTCTTCCCTCGGGGCCTTTATCTGCAGGAAGTGTCAACACTTGCAAGGTCACTGTCCCCAAGAGGGTGGGGGTGGGGCCACGACCTCGAGGAGGTCCCAAGAGAAATAAAGATTCTACCCAGGTACACACCAACCCACACTTCAGGAAGACCTGGCACTAAATGAGTCCATTTTTATTAACATCTCACATCTTAAAAGCAGCACAAAGGACAGATGAGGTAGCAGAGCAAGAGAGCTCTCAGAACACACAGGAAGCAGCAGTGGGTGTCAGGGAGCCGCCTGAGCACAGGGTGGCAGCACCCTCCGGGAGTGGGCCTTGACCCAGGGGTGCACCAGGATCTGGCTCAGGGGCAGCCGCTCCCCGGGCTGGAACCTCAGAAGCCTGGAGATCAGGTCCTGGGCCCCCACAGGCATCGCGGGGGGAAACCTCACGTCCACCTGGGAGGCCGGGAAAGAAGAGAAGCCCAGCTGCAGAAGCTCTGTGGTCAGTGCAGTCCCTGTTCTGGACCTGAACAGACAGCCTGTGTGCGCCCCAGCCCTGCAGCCCCTCAGCTGTCACCGATCGGCTCCCCGGAACACCCACCGCGCGGCCGCCCCACCTTGAGGATGCGCCTGTAGGTCTCGCTGTGCGAGGCGCTCTCGAAGGGTGGGCTTCCCACCAGCAGCTCGTAGCACAGCACCCCGATGCACCAGAGGTCCACCTTCTCGTCGTATGTCCGCCCCTCAATCATCTCCGGTGGCAGGTAGTCCAGAGTCCCGCACATTGTCTTCCTCCTAGGGAGGGCAGTGTGGGGGCGCAGTGCACAGGCCCGAGGTGAGGGGTGCTCCTGCCCCCATCCAGGGCACGGGGAGGGCCGAGAACATCCTCCAAGTCCCCTCCCGAGCACATGGATTTGGGGACAAGTTTTAGTAGTGACCAACTTTCACAGAGGGAAAGTACTGGGACCCAATCACATGTTCTGAAATTAGTCACACATTATTTAGTTCACCCAGAACGTGTTCACATAAATATTCTCAGCATCCATTTAGATCTGGCATGGTAGCACAGGCTGGTAACACAGCAACTCTGGAGGCTGAGGCAGGAGGATGGCGAGTTTGAGGCCAGTTTGGCTTACACTGTGAGTTCAACGCCAGTCTGGGCGACACAGTGAGATACTGTCTCAAAGAAACAGAAAGCAAACAAAATACGAAGCAAAATGATGGAGCACCAAGAGGGATTAAGTAAATAAACCAATTCTTCCACACCAAGAAATAGACTCCTGGTATTGTAAAGCAACGGCTATTGATTCAGACAGTATCTTATTGGTAAAATCACACATTAATGAAGCTCAGAAAATAGTGTGGGTGGACCATGTATTTTTAATCTGCACTGACAGAGTTCCACTGCTAAGAAAATGGCCCCGGGGTTCTGATTACCCAAGATGGCCCCTCACGTGAGAAATGAGTCATGTTTGGGACTCGAAACTGACTCCCAACAGGAAGGGGACGTACCCCACCTGGCCTACTTCTCTCCAGAAAGTTTTCCCGTCCAACCACCCTCCTGCCTCCTGGTTCAAACCTGCCAATCAGTGCCAGCCTTGTCACCAGCTCCAACCTATCACCCACTAGCACACGATGCTCTCCCAACCCCTTATAAACCCCACTCCAACCGGGTTCTCTCTCTCGCCATTGTTCAAGGCGGCCTGGCAGCTCTTTCCCCCAATAAAGCCTTGCTCCTGTTTGGGCTCGATTTCTTTCATGCGCCCATATATACACATATGTATGTATGTAAGTGTCATTGTTTTGTTTGTTTTTTGAGACAGGGTCTCGCTATATAGTTCAGGCTGGTCTTCAACTCATTATGCAGCCCAGGCTGGCCCAAACTCACAGTGATCCTCCTGCCTCAGCCTCTCAAGTGCTGGGATCACAGGTGTGCATCACCATGCTCAGCTTTTAAATCTGCAAATATATTTTAAATGTATAAATTTGAAAAGGACAATATTCACATGCAGACACAGATATGGCATTAATACAAAATGGGATACTATTCAGCTGTAAAAAAGCATAAACATGATTCATTTGTAGGAAAATGGATGCACCTTGAGATGAGAATGTTAAGTGAAATAAATCAGACACAAAAGGTTACATATCACATGGTTTCTCTTAGGTGAGAAACCCAAAGTATAAATAAATTAAAGAGCAAAAGAAAAGATCGATGGTGGGAGACAGGGTGACAGAGCGTTTGCAGTAGGAAGGGGGCCAAGGCACGGGGGGTGGGGCAGGGGAAGGGGCATCGAAGGGGGTCACTGTGAGTTATGGAAATGTACCAACTGCAGAGCTGCGCTACTAACGGTGCAGAAACAAATACAGAGCGGGTTTCCATCTCGGTCCTGACAGGTGGGATGGACTCAAACGGGTCACCCCTCCTTGGTGCCAGGGCCCCGCACCCGACCTACCTCAGCGACGGGGTGTGCACTGACCAGCCGAAGTCTGCAATCTTCACCTCACCCCTGAACCCGAGCAGCAGGTTCTCTGGCTTGATGTCCCTGTGGATCACCTTCTTGGCATGGCAGTAGGCCAGGGCATCTGCCAGCTCCTCCATGATCTGTGGGAACACAGCCAAGGCCTCTGAAGCCAGGCCTGCCACGGTGCACCTCGGAGGCAGAGCACTCCTGACAACGTCAATGCTGCCGTGGCACCTTAGTTCTCGCCTACTGACGTTGACGCCCCTTTTCAGTGGGACCGGTGAGTGTAGGGAAGGTCTCCTCTTCACCTGCTGGGAAGGGCGCTGGAATGCACAGATCAGCCCTTTGCCCTAGCACAGCCAACAGTCAGACCCAACACCACCCCGAGCCAAGGAGATAGTCCTGAGAGCCTGAGTGCCGGGGAAGGAGACAGGAGCAGGAGGCAGCATGGAGGCCATCTGTCTTTTTCATTAGTCCATTTCTTCAGCACACAATGTTTACACTCCTCGTGTGGAGTGGGGCATGCATATAACATCTTAACTCCTCTTCATCCCCTTCCTCTTTGAGAAAGATCTACTGTATCTCCCTAAAACCTATTATTTTTCTTTTATTTCGCTATTTATATTTTGGGTTTCTCATATAAGAGAAACCATACAACATGTTAGCATGAGTGTCTGACTTATTTCACTTAACGTTATTGTCTCAAAATGCATCCATTTTCCTACAAATGACTCAAGTTTGTCCTTCTTTATGGCAGAGTAGTGCTCCTCGTGTACAAATATCACATTTTCTTTATCCATTCATCTGTTGATGGACATACTGGCTGCTTCCAAGATTTAGCTATCATAAAATGTGCTGCTATAAACATTGGTATGCACGTTTTCACTGTAATGTAGTGACTTTAACTCTTTCAGGAAGACACCTGGAAGGCAAACAGCAGGGCCAAATGGCATCTCTAGTTTTAGGTTTTGAGGAATATCCACGCCAATTTCCATAGCGGCTGCCTCACTCATCCTGACAGCAAGCTTGCCCAGCCACTCCCATGGAGATGACCACTGCTGTGCTTCCTTCTCTGGTGCCCTCTAGAAATCTCTAGCTACCTTTCCCTGAGCCAGTTCAACCCATTTCCTCAGTAAACTCATCCTAGTCTTTCAATGTGTGTTGTTTTTGCTTTGTGCATAAGGTGAGTTAGATTCTATTGCTTACAACTAAAGAATCCAATTTTATACACACTACTTATCAATATTCAGGGGATGAATCTGAAGACGAAGGCATTATTATATAAAACTTACAGAAAAAAAATCAGAGATAAACTTTTTTTTTTTTCTTTTGGTACCGGGGATCAAACTCAGGTCCTTGCGCTTGCACAGCAGCCAGCAAAACCACTGAGCTAAATCACCGGCCCCTAGAGATAAAGCTGTTGTTGTTGTTTTGAGACAAGGTCTCATTCTGTACTTCAGGCTGGCCTTCAACTCACTAAGGCATGAAACTCACTAAGTAGCCCAGGCTGGCCCAAACTCACAGTGATCCTCCTGCCTCAGCCTCCCAAGTGCTGAGATTACAGGTGTGTGCCATCACGCCCGGCTCCAGAGATAAGGTTCTTAAAGAGCAATCTGGAACCAGAGACCCACAGCCCACAGGGAATCCGGGCCCCTCACCGTGGCCGTCCGCTTCTCATCCAAGGTGTGGCTTCTGAGCAGCTCCTTGTAGAGCTCACCCCGCGGAGCGTACTCCAGAATCAGGTAAACCCGGCGGGTGTCATGGAAGTAGTTGTAGAGGCGCAAGATATTGGGGTGACTGAAGGAGGAGTGAAGAAAGCATCAGACTTCTCCTGAACCCAACACACAATCCTGTTGCCAGTGCCTGGTCACACAAGTGGCAAACTGCTGGGACAGAGTGAAAACAACCCAAACTGGGAGCAAGTGAGGGGGAACAGGGCAGAGCGGGAAGGGGGTTCTGAGCAGGGCGGGGAGGCCCTGCAAAGAGAGGCATATCTTTGGGAGGAGACCTACGGGTGGCGGGAAAGGCTGAGCTGGCCTTACTGCAGATGCGCCTGGATCTCCACCTCCCTGCGCAGCTGGTGCTCCACTCCCTCCTTCTCTATCTGGGATTTGAAGAGGACCTTCAGGGCCACGATGAAACGGCTTTCTTTGAGCCGGGCCAGGTACACACTCCCGAACTTGCCCTTGCCCAGAGGACACCCGATGTCGAAGTCCTGGATGGCGAGGGGCCTCCTGTAGGAGCGGGGGAGAGGCCCGCCCTGGGGCGTCAGGGTCCCGGCCTCATGACCTGGCACCCTGGACCTCCGGGCACTCACCTGGCGGGTTGCCCGGGCTGCTCGGGGTGCGCAGCCTGCAGGCAGGTCTGGAGGAGAGGCGCGGACGCAGACGCGTCGGTCTCCATGAGGACCCAACCGTGGCGCTGTAAAGGGTCCGGAAAGACCCTTGGGCGGGCCTTTTATAGTCAGCGTGCCTCGTCATAGGGGCGGGGCTGGTGGCTGTGGGGTGATGCTCACTGGCTGCAATTTCTGATGCCCCTGACAGCGTGCCCAATAGAATAGTCAGAAGGGGGGGGAGCCAATAGGATGGCAGGGGCGGGGCTAAGTGAGGCAAGAAGACAGAAGGGCGGGAGCCAATGGGGCAGGCTTGCACATGCGCACAGGGGGCAAGACACAGCCCAGCCTCCACTGACCCTAGGCCGCGTGCGCGCACCCAACAGGCTTCGAGGCGCTCGGGTCCTAAGTGCTTCTCCTCCGTAACCATCTTGAATTTGGAGTCTCAAGTATAGTAAAATCAGACGTCGGGTTTGTTTGCTTGCTTGTTTTAGAAAATTGGGAGAATTCAAAAAACATTTGGGTTTTGTTTTCGCAGAACTGCACATTGAACCCAGGGCCTTCATCCAGAGTTACGCCTCAGCTTTCTTTCTTTTTTTTTTTTTACGACAGAATCAAAGTTCCTAAGTTGACCAGGTTGGGCTCCAACTTGCGTACCTCCTGCCTCAGCCTCTCCAGGGTGCGGTGATTGCAGGCACGCACGCCGTGCTGGGTTTAGGTCGTTTTTCTTAGGCTGGAGGACGAGTTTAGCTTCGCGGCACACGTCGTGCCTGGACACGTGGGGCGAGACGGGCAGGATCCCACCACATGGTGTGGCCTGCTCAGCCTCAGCAGGAATGAAGGGCAGACTCTCCTGGGCGGAACACGGCGGGTACGTGAGCCCAAGCCCCGGAACCGGTGCTGTGCTTCCTTACCCTGCACACTCAGTCTGGAGCCCATCGTCTCCAGTCCCTGGGGTCCGGAAGCAGACAAGCCCCACACCCCCACCGCCCTCCCTTACCTCTCCTCAAGCGTACGAGAGAGGAATCACGGAACACAGCTTGTCTTGTGGTGCTCGTATTTGTTTACAAGTAAAACCAACAGCGGACTGGGTGGTACACGCCTGTAACCCGCTCTAGGAGGGTGAGGTAGGAGGAACAGAATTTTGAGCCTCGTGGGGCAGTGCAGCCACTCAGCAAGACCTTGTCTCAAAAAAGGAGGGGAGGGATGGCTGGGGATTTCGCTCAGTGCAAAAGCCCTGGGTTCAATCCGCAGTCTGGGTCAGGGGCAGTTTTGCAGTGAAGTGGACTGCACGGGAGAGGTCTAGGGAGACGGAGGCGTGGAGGGGTGTCTGAGGGCCGGGGTCTCACACAGCGGCCATGCAGACCAGGGGATGAACGTGGGAGGGCTTGGGGGCGTGAAAAAGGAAGAAGTGTGCAGTTGAAGCTGGGAAGGAAGAGCGGGGGTGGGGGGAGAAGAATGAAGAGAGAGATACAGAGTCGCCCCGGGGCCTGGTGAAGGAGTTTGCAATGTGCTCCCCAGGGAGCGAAAGCATACCTAGGACTTGGCTTACTGAGCAGAGTGTGGCACCCACACACAGAGGAGGGTCATCACAGAAGCTTGTACCCAGCACTCCCTGGGCACGGGGTATCAGACACGCTCCTTTCTGCGGGAGCGGGTGACGGTGCCCACGCCACCCCCAGGCAGAAGCACTGACTCTTACACGAGCCAACTGGGGCATCAGCACGGCTGAGCTTCCTGGTGGTGCTTTCCCCACGTTGCCAGACACTTTGCTCGGGAGTTGTCTCCATGCGACTGCACTGGGCAGCGACGCACGCTAGGTCTGTGTCTGCGATTCTCATTGACTTCACCTCCGTGCCTTCTCCCCCTGCTGATCTTGGCACCAGAAAAGGTCAGGGTGAGGAACATCAATCTAAGGGTGTTGGGGCCAGAGTAGGTGACTGAACCAGGAACCCAGAGTGAGGGAGTGAGGGACTGACTGGCCCATGTCCGGAATTCCCAGAGCTTCTGGTGCCTGGAAGGGGATGAACCACAGCAGGGGAAGAGCAGGGAGCGGAGTGAAGGGTTTGAGTTAGAATGGTGTCTCAGAACCAAGGGCAGGTGGGGCGGAAGGGAGTAGGTGGGACTACTCCGACGTTAAAGAACCAAGGAGAGTTCCAGCTTTGGACTGAGTGCTTGCCAGGATCACGCCCTGCTGACAGCCCCAGAGAGACAGGGATGGGTGGTTTCTTTTTCTTTTGAAACAAGGTCTCACTATGTAGTCCAGGCTGGCCTCGACCTCACAGCGATCCTCCTGCCTCAGCCTTCCCAGTGCTGGGATTCCGTGCATGCACCACCATGCCCGGCTTAGGACAGGCGAGCTCTGAACCTGGAGTTGCCCTCACCTTGGCCAGTTGTGAAGAGGGCAGTGCAGCAGCAGGGAAGGCTATAGCAGAGCAGAGGTTTGGAGAGTGGACAGAAGAGGTGATAGAGAAGTAGAAACGCTGCCCACGGAGGAAGAGGGCCCCAGAAGGATCCCTGATTAAAGGAAAAGACAATGAACCCTAAAATGCAGGACCCCAGACACGCAAGTAGAAAGCACAGAGGGGGCGACTGATACTCGGGCACACAGTGCAGGTAACAGGGTGGAAGGGACCAAGGGCCATGGGGATGGGAGAGCCTGCGAGACAAAAGAAGCTGCTGCGCTGGCAAAGGGCGTCGTGTCTCAGGGACAACTGGACGCGCATGCGCGGCCTTCAAGCAGGGCGGGCTCCAGATCTGGGGAGCCGCACGGCCGCAGGTGGTCTAGGGCACCAGGGGCAGCAAGGAGGAGGCCGTGGCCGGGGACGGTGCACAGAAAGGCCCCTCTTCCGGCCAGAGCCAGGCCCACGGGGACGTCGGACAGCAGACTAAGGTGCACACACCACCGCCTACCAGCGCCCCAATGCATTTGCCTTTCAGGAAGCTGATGTGAGAGCCATTTGGAAGTCCCTGAGCCCCGACCATGCAGCTCGGGCACCTTGGATGCGCCCCTTGCCCAGTCCCGCCGCCGCCGTGTGGAGGGCCCCAGGATGGCCCGCTCGCTGTGCTGCGGTCGGATTCGTGCTTCCAGTGTTCGTGGAGGATGTGGATTTCACTCCGGACTAACCCAGCCCAACAGATTTGAGGTGTGACAATGAAGTTTGTCCCCACTATTCCAGGCACACTGGACAGCACAGGGCCAGCCGGGACTCACCAGGTCCTCGGGAGGGAGGAAGTACAAAGGTGCAGCGTGGGCACTGTTGGAATTGCCCTTTTTTTGAGATGGGGTCTCGCTATGTGGCCCAGGCTGGCCTCGAACCCAAGGCGATCCTCCTGCCACAGCCTCCTGAGTCTGAGATTACAGGCCTGTGCCACCACACCCGGCTGCCCCTACTCTGTTGGCATTTTGTACCGCGTGTGGCGGCTGATACGTGAGAACCTGACGGGCAGCAGCTGACTGGGTGGTTTGCTTAGCAGAAACAGGCAAACTCACACAGGCAGCTCCCCACTTGCCCCGGGAAGGGCTATGTCTCCAGGATCAGAGAGGTCCTGCTTGTTGTGAGAATAAAACATTCAACACTGTGATGGGCACAGTGGCTTAGCCCTATTATCGTAGCCCTTGGGGAGGCTGAGGCAGGAGGGTCGTAAGGTTTTTATTTTTTGGTACCGGGAATCGAACTCGGGAACTTGAACTTTCGAGGCAGGCACTGGAACCACTGAGCTAAATCCCTGGCGGGTTGTAAGTTTGAGACTAGCCTGAGGTACACAGTGAGATTCTGTTTCAAGAAACAAAACTCAGTGGTATGGGTAGGCACTTTTTTTTTTTGGGTACCAGGGATTGAAAGGGTAGGCACTCTTACCCGAGACAGGAAAGGCCACCCTCACAGGGGTCTGAGTAGAGTGAGCCGCATGCACCGCTCACCCACCCCACCCCCCGACCGATCCTGCACCGGGCCGGTGGCTGCAGAGGCCTCTCAGCTGCAGCCGGCCACTCCCACTGCAACCAAGAAAAACTTGAGACTGATCCACAAGTGTCTGCAATAGCATACTCTTTAATTTAGGTATCTGCGCTTTATGATGGGGAATTACTACGAATGCCCTGCTCTTTAATTCTCCATTGAAGCCATAGGCTACATTTCAAATAGCAGCAATAATGGAAAGAGAACCTGTTTACATCACACTATAGGAATACTAACTAACCAGGCCATGGCGTCTTTGTTTTTTTGGGGGGGGGGCGGATACCAGGGATCGAACTGAGGATCTTACACTTGCGCCACTGAGCTACATCCCTGGCCCCTATGGCATCTTCACAAAGGCAAGTGACTGGAGGGCCTCACACTGACCACTTGGAGCTGCCTGATCAGTGTGCATACACAGACATGACTCAGGCATGTGCACTCTATGCAGACATATGTATACATGGCTTCAAGTGGTACGTACAGTTAACGCCTTGGTTCACAAACATTTCTGCTCATGAACAACTCAGTTCATGAACAGAAACATTAGGCAAAATTTTGCTTCTGTTTGTGAACTGCATTGTGATGAACACGACCACAGCCACCTTCCCCAGAATTGCAAAACGAATTAAGCTCGTGAACTGAGGTCACACTGTACCGGTGTGCACATATGCACTGGGCAGAGGGTCCTTTCTCAATAGTCGTCCTCTGTAACTTGCTGTAGATTAAAGCTCGGCTAGGTTGTGACAAGTTCCACTGCAAGTCAGGAGTTTCTTACAGTCTTTCTCCCAAAATCATGACCCTTATTTTTTGCTGAGGGAATAATATTTGCACCTTACACATGGTAGTACCACTTGAATCACCATGAAGGCGTTAAAACCGCAGGCCCAGCCCGCTGTCCTCTTGGCGTGCCAGCTTGGCTCTGGCTGAGGCTCGGGGCTCTAGACCTGGGAGGCTTCCCGTAGCTCTGAGTAAAGCAGTTCAGTGCATGCAGCTTTCTGTGTAAACAGGACCTAGGCTGAAACCCTTCTGAAGGCCGGGTCTGGTTACGTGCTGGACAGTGTGCCGAACAAACACCCTGGGACTGAGTTCCACGGACTTCCCCAGCTATTGCCCACTCGGTGCCCGAAGCAGCTTGGGTAAGGCATGCGCTGTGTGGCTTTCGTGAGGCAGGC